TCTCTTTATCGTGGATCGCATAAAGGAGCTCATAAAAGTCAAAGGGTTCCAGGTTACTGTTTCTTTCATTAGCAGCACTGCTCTTTAATGCTAGGAAATATTAAGGTGCCACCGGCGGAACTTGAGAATATATTGACACAACATCCAGCAATAAGCGAAGCAGTGGTCGTTGGTATCCCTCATGATACAAAAGGAGAAGTTCCAAAAGCGTATGTTGTCCGACAATCGGACGATCTTTCCGAGAACGAGGTGAAAGCTTTTGTAGAGGGTGAGTTTTCTCGTATTTACATTCCAATTTCACAACAAGCGACTTTCATTTTTTAGAGCGGGTTTCGCCGCACAAACATCTAGTTGGTGGTGTTGAGTTCGTACAAGAAATCCCAAAGAATACATCAGGAAAACCCCTCAGGCGAGTTTTACGCGATCGGAATAAGAGCTCGTAGCGAATAAGCAGATTTCTTACATATTTTGATAAGCCCACTGTCTTACTGAACTTTGACGAGACTGCAGACTCGAAGAGATTAAAAATGTATGATGATCATGAATAAAACTAGCATTCTTGTTTCTCGTATAGCAATATTACATAAATCGATAATTGAGATTTTGAAAAGATGAAACGCCCCACATTAACAGAGTACTCTGATTACCCACAGAACAAGATCTCATTCTAACTTCACGAGAAGAGAAGCGTAATATTTACTTACCACCATTTCCCCTTGACCATGTAAAAGGGATCCATCGGAGAACTTTCAAAGTCAAAGGAAGCAAGTAATGAAAAACCTTAACAGAGGGCCTTAGCGCTATGATGCTTCTAAGAATTGAAGTAAAAGCTTTCATAACAGATACCATAATCTTCTGATTATAACTACCTTAATGAAGATAACAGTCATGTGAGGTGAAAGCTACCATGTATTGCTTTGGAAAGATGTTTTTTCTCAAATCATACTTATATGGAATCAACTTCGAATTTCATTCTGATTAATTTGAGCTTTCCGCTTGCTTATTCTGTCTAATCTTCTTAGAGAGTGCATACAAAAGCTGGTTGAGAACAAATTATTACTATTCAAGAAATCAGATATGATGCAAACAAAGGGGGGCGGTTATTATTTATCCAGTACTTGCTCAAACAATCCTAACACAGCAAAATTTTGCAACCTAGTCTTCTCTATATAGATCAGCTACACCAAATTGGCTAACTCCTTCTTCGAATGGAAGATCGATTACCTTAATAAAACAAGTTGATTAAGCACATAACGTTA